TTATGCTTTTCAGTACTGTTTTATATTGTTTATGTTTGCCATGTTGTTTTTGTCTGAACTGATGTCTCAACATCCTATAGGACATATGAGTTCTGACCTACTAGAATTTCACAACTAAGTGTGAAATATGTGGTTCATATACTCCATAAATACTCCCAGCACATTGGTAACACTGAATGGCATCACCAAATACTCATAATGTCCATATCAAGTTCTAAAAGTTGTCTTCTGAATATCGTCATCTTTTACTCAAATCTGGTGATAGCTTGATCTCAAGTCAATCTTGCTAAATGTACGTGCACCCACCAGTTGATCCATTAAGTCATCTATCCTCAGAAGTGGATACTTGGTTTTACTTGTTACTTTATTAAATTTCCGGTAATCAACATAGAGTCTCATACTATCGTCCTTATTTTTCACTTGCAACATTAGAGCTCCACAAGGCGATACACTTGGTCTCACGAATTTATTTTCAAGAAAGTCTTCTAATTGCTTCTTCAACTCTACTAATTCAGATGCAGACATTCTGTAGGGTGCCATAGAAACATGTTTGATACCAGGAACAAGATCAATAGAAAACTCCACTTCTCTTTCTGGAGGCACATCCAAAATATCATCTGGGAAAACTTTAGGGAAATCACACACTACATGCAACTCATCAATTGCAGTTCGATTCTCAATAGACAAGGACACCATCAAAGAAAACACCTGAGCTTCATCTTGCATCAATTCATTCAACTGTCTAGCAGATAAGAATCCATCTTCCTCTTCCTCATCAGGAGTAGAAAGCCACATCAATTTGTTGTAATAGTTAATATGAACATAATTGTATTCCAATCAATTCATGCCCATAATTACGTCCAGACCACTCAATGGTAAACAAACTAAATCCACAACAAAGTCTCTAACAAAGATTGATAAAGGACACTTCGAACATACAAGAGAAGTAGTCATTGATCCCTTAGCTGGAGTATCGACAACCATCTCTCCATTCATAGAAGATAATACAAGACCCAACTTTTTCACACAGTCAGCAGCAATAAGACAATGGGTAACACCAGTATCAATAATAGTAATTAAAGGAGCACTAATAATGAAACATATACCTTTGATTAAAACAGTCTCCACTGGATGTCTGGGTTCCGAATAAAGTGAACATCTTCCCACCGCACTGAACTTTCTTGGGCTTCTAACACTGAGTACTGATATGCCCTTCCTCGCCACAATTGAAACATATCACCTCTTTGTGTTTATAATCACCTATCTCATGCCCAACTTTACCACAACGGAAACACCTCTTCACTTCCCTAGTACAAACATTACTTTGATGACATATTTTTCCACACCTGAAACATATGATGTTAGTAGGAGCGCCTCCCCTAGTTGTCCTCTTACCATCAACAACTCTCTGTTTGCCTTTGTCAGCTGGAACATTGTAATGCTTCCCACGATTTTTTTGTTGCTTACCTCTCCTATCATTTATGATATTGTAGTGAGCCTTACTATCCACCTCATAAATCCTACAACTATTCACCAAATCTGGAAATTTATGAATCTGCTGATATACAATAACCCGCTTGATTTTCACACGCAAACCATTTTCAAACTTAATGCACTTTGAGAATTCAGCAGTCGCCTCGTTGTAGTAAGGGTAGAACTTTGCCAACTCCATGAACTTAGCAGCATATTCAGTCACTGACAAATCTCCCTATTTTAACTCCAGAAATTCAATTTCTTTCTTCCCGCAGACATCTTCAAGAAATACTTCCTCAGAAACTCCTTGCTTAACACATCCCAAGTAATCTCCTCACCTTCACCATCCAGCCTCTAACGAGTGCTAATCTACCAATCATCAGTCTCTCCTGCCAGCATGTGTGTACCGAATCACACCTTCTGTGCCTCAGAAGAATCTATAACTCGAAAGATCCTCTCGATCTCCTTTAGCCAAGTCTGCGCCCCATCAGGATCATACCCACCCTTGAACGTAGGTGGATGGTTCCTTTGGAATGTCTCCAAAACACGGGATCCATCATTCCTACCCATATTAGGCTGATGTTGTACAACCTAAGCCATAGTATGCAAAGCAGCAACAAGAGCAACATCGTTTCTTTCAACCATTTCTCTGTTTCACACCATAAGATCAAACAATGGTTAGAAGAAACACATCAACAATATTCAACCGTGTAATGGCCTTGCCATATGCGTAATGCCTTCTTCCCTTACGCGTATCCTATGTGTAACATTAGAGGAGCGTGCTAGCCACAGGACATGACGTGTAACATACGCGTAATGCCCTTTGGGAAGTCCCCTCATATGCGTAATGCCCATGGCTTACGCGTATGGGTAGTCTGCAACCAGAAATCCTATTTTCGCATCAGTGCGATTTTTCATCCATTGAAGCACCTTTAAGCTTCTAATTCTGACCCAAAAACAACATTCATACCAGTATAAGCCTAAAGGCTCTATCCTACTTCGTTAATCTATCATTTTATCAAGATTTTCACAGTTTAAATCATAAATTCCTCAATTCCCACATACCCATATTTTCCATATTAGGGTTTCATGGAATAACACCACAACAACAACAATTATCAACAAAAATTACATCATTGACATCAATTAGTCCACAATTCCACATAGAATCACACAGAGACAACATCAATCAACAAAAGAAGAACATATATCATTCACACGCAAGACCTAGAGAGAGAAAGGAACCCTCACTATCCTCTCATGTTCTAATCACCCTTTAAAGAACCCATTCTCCCCCTTACCTTAGTTTGAAGCTTTGATCTTTCAACAATAGTGGAATTCTCTGTTGTCCTAACCGTTCCCTCTCTTCTCTTCTTTGTTTCAACGTGACAACAATTTTCTCCCAATCCCTTCTAGCACTCTCCCAATTATGTTTTTAATATCATCTAATAATAACTAATAGTAATAATAATTAGTATAATAATAATTATAATAATTATAACTATAATAATAATAATAATAATAATAATAATAATAATAATAATAATAATAATAATAATAATAATAATAATAATAATAATAATAATAATAATAATAATAATAATAATAATAATAATAATAATAATAATAATAATAATAATAATAGTGGTAACTATACCATATATCTAATAATAGTATTTTTATTAGTAATAATAGTATATTTCATCATTCACCAATATTATATCTAACAATAGTATTTTTATTAATAATAATAGTATATTCCATCATTCACAAATATTATTATTATTATTATACCATAGATTAATCTTTATTCTAATTATTTAATTAGAACTAAGTTCTCTCATACCCTTAGTTATGCCATAATAATTCAAAATCAACAAATAATAATTAAATATTTAAATGGGGCGTTACACCGCCGATCTTGGTTGATCCCACCAAACTCCTGTCGTTCTCAATTTCGTTCCCCTCCACCTGATCCAGCTACTAACTCACCCTAATGAATCCGATCAAAACACCGTGCTTGATTAAATCGAAACAAATCTTGCTGTCGATAATTGTTACATTATAAATCTGTATGTTCTATCCCAAACTTCTCGGTATAAACTCTTTCCATCGCCACCCTCGAACCACAGACCCCTTATCCTTTAGTGCCATCCTGGCTGGATCCCCTCCCCTCTTATTGCTGCAAACCACCATAGAATACCGTCGAAAAACTAGATTGAAACCTAGTTGATTGGTATCCTAGTAGAATCACAGATTATATAGTAATATTAAATGTTTTTTTCCTTGAAATAATTAATTAATTAGGTGAAAATGGTAAAAAAAAAAGCTTAGACATTGAAATATAACATTAATAGAAATAATCTGGTATTTTTTCCATCTTAATTGAAATATTATTTTTCTTTATTTTCATATAAAAACCAAATGTATTTGAACTAAATAAAAATAAAATACATTTGCTTATTATTTGTATTTAAGACAAAATAAAGTAAATTCTACTATTAGCTGTTAAATTAAAGTAACTAGTTGAGAATGGTTAACTTAAAAGATAGGAAAAGCAAAAATAAAATAGACATAAAAAGAAAAGAAAAAAACGTGTTATTCACCCAACTTTTGATCTAGAAGTAATGTTTTAGCAGAGAAAAGAAAACTATGGTCTATTAAAATGGATTACTCGCTCACTTCGTTATTTTATTTTTCGAACTATTAATGATGGTGACGCAATCTCACACTCTCTCTTAACTCCTATATAAATTGCGACGCGTCTTCTTTCAATTCTCATCCTCTGATTTCTTCTACTTCTTTCCCCTCACATCTCTCTTCCTTCTTTCGTTCTCAACCTCTCCTTAACTAAAGTAACTCGTCATTTCTTCGTATAATTTCGATTTTCGTTCTTCTTTTTCTCTCTGATTAGCTTTTTGAGTTTGCAAGTGAGTTCTTCTCTCGTTCGTTTTCTTTCGATATCGCATTTTGGTTTCTGTTTCGTTCTGAACTTCAATTAAACGATCACATTGTATGTTTTTCTTTCTTTTTTTTTTAAATTTTTTTGTGTGTGAGTGATTCGGTTGAATTGTTAATGGATGGATCTGTTATTTTGGCTTTATTGAATGATTTGTTGTTAGATCTGGTATTTGATTATTTAATGGCGTAATTTGGAATTTTCGTTATTTCTGAATTTTTGTGGAGTGTTTGTGTCTGCATGCGAAGAAACAGAGAATGATGATTCAGTTAAACATTTTAATAGTTTTTATTTGATCATTTTGTATTTTATTCGAGTAGTTTCATCCGGATCTGCGAGAATTTTTTGATGGAAATTATAGATCTCGTTCTCAATGTGACTGTACTTATGATCTATACGCGGCACCGACATTGACATGTTGACACCTGAAATTATTTGAAATTTTTTTTCCAGAGGGGTCAGTGCTACAGGGATTATGATTTGGATCTTATAATTTGGTTTAGAAAAAGTTGTGTGTTGATTTTGAGTTTTGATGGTTTGTGTTATAATGACAGGTTGCTAAGAAAAAATGGTGAAGATTTGCTGTATTGGAGCTGGCTATGTTGGTGGTCCAACAATGGCTGTGATTGCTCTGAAGTGTCCTGAGGTTGAGGTAGCTGTGGTGGACATTGCGGCACCGAGAATCAATGCTTGGAACAGTGAGCATCTACCTATATATGAGCCTGGTCTTGATGATGTGGTGAAGGAGTGCAGAGGAAGGAACCTTTTCTTCAGCACTGATGTTGAGAAGCATGTTGCTGAGGCCGATATCGTCTTTGTATCGGTGAATACTCCTACGAAGACTCAAGGTCTTGGAGCTGGCAAGGCAGCTGATCTTACTTACTGGGAGAGTGCTGCTAGGATGATTGCTGATGTATCCAAATCTGATAAAATTGTTGTTGAAAAATCGACTGTTCCGGTTAAAACAGCTGAGGCGATTGAGAGGATTTTGACTCACAATAGGAAGGGTATTAATTTCACAATTTTGTCTAACCCTGAGTTTCTTGCAGAGGGTACAGCTATCAAAGATTTGTTTAATCCGGATCGTGTGCTTATCGGAGGTAGGGAAACTCCTGAAGGTCAAAAGGCTATCCATACTTTGAGAGATGTTTATGCTCATTGGGTTCCCTTGGATCGAATCATTTGCACCAATTTGTGGTCTGCTGAACTCTCAAAGCTTGCCGCCAATGCTTTCTTGGCACAGAGAATCTCTTCTGTGAACGCTATGTCTGCTCTATGCGAGGCAACCGGTGCTGATGTTGCTCAGGTTTCTCACGCGATCGGCACTGATTCGAGAATTGGACCAAAGTTCTTGAATGCTAGTGTTGGTTTTGGTGGATCATGCTTTCAAAAGGATATTCTGAACTTGGTCTATATCTGCGAGTGCAACGGCCTTCCTGAGGTTGCTAACTACTGGAAACAGGTCATTAAGGTGAATGACTACCAGAAAGCTCGATTCGTGAACCGAGTCGTTTCTTCCATGTTCAACACTGTGTCAGGAAAAAAGATTGCTGTTTTGGGATTTGCTTTCAAGAAGGACACTGGTGACACTAGGGAGACTCCTGCGATTGATGTGTGCAAGGGTTTATTGGGAGACAAGGCTAAGTTGAGCATATATGATCCTCAAGTTTCTGAAGAGCAAATCTTGAAGGATTTAGCAATGAAGAAATTTGATTGGGATCACCCTGCTCATCTTCAACCCACAAGCCCAACAACTTCCAACAAACAAGTTTCTGTTGTTTGGGATGCGTACGAGGCGTTAAAGGACGCACATGGTATTTGCATTATGACTGAGTGGGACGAGTTCAAGAACCTTGATTACAAAAGAGTTTTTGACAACATGCAGAAGCCTGCATTTCTTTTTGATGGAAGGAATGTTGTTGATGTTAAAAAGCTGAGGGAAATTGGTTTCATTGTTTTCTCCATTGGAAAACCACTAGATGCTTGGCTCAAGGATATGCCTGCAGTGGCTTAAACAAGAGAAAAATCACAAGATGGATTTGCATTTAGGGATGAATTTGTTGGTATTTTTCATAAAGGAAGATGCATTGCTATTCTGCTTATAGTTTAGATATATTTCTGTTGCTGCTGTTATTTTTGTTTTTCATGTTACTTTGATTTTGATGATATTTTGGCGGCAAGTTAGAGCTAAAGCCTAAATATTACTATTGTCACTTTAGATAATTAAATATCCTTATTTTTCGACATGGTTTAATGTAATAAGTTGGTGGTGAAGGAAATTTTATACAATGTGTATCATTTCTTTTAGTTGTTTGTTTTGTTACTCTTATGTAGGATGCAATATTTTTTATTCTTTCACACTACCTTCCAACTGTTATTCAGTTACTCTTGTTGCTCTTGAATCATCTCAAGAAGATAGAGAAAATAATATATTTTAGTGAAACTTCTCCTAATTATTAGTACTTCTCTCCGATTATTATTTTGGTAAATTCTTAAATAGCAATGAGTTTTACTTGTATTTAACAAATTTGTAGGTACTGAGTTTTAGTTGGATAATATTTATTGGTGTTTTTAAGTAAACAATCCTGAGTTTTAATTCACTTGCAGTATCAAACTTGAAATTTTTTAAAAATCACTATATATTAAGCGTCTGATAAAATGTATTAGTACTAAAACTTAAAAATTCAAAGAAGTAAATGAAGGGAAGGGATGCTTAAGCAAATAAAGAAATATATAATAATAAAGTAATTGAATAAAAAATGCTTAAATTAAGACTGAAACGCAAGTTCATACATTTCGCACAATTTATTTATCTGTGATTCGGATGTGTGAATTTTAAAGAAAGTAGAATGAAATACAAATCCCGATTACAGAGTCGAAATCTTCATATATACTAGGTACATCGTCAACCGTCAACAACATTTATCTCTTCAAAATTTGACATGTATGTTGTTACGTGGGCTCTCGTCTCCGGCTTTGTTTCCAAGCGTATTTGGCTCTCAAACTGCTTCAAGCCGCCACTACTGTCGAAAATGTCTCTAAGTCCTCCACTCGCCGCTGTCGAAAAGATCAACCTATCGAATTTGTTACCCAGTGTCGAAAATATGACTTGGTTACCTGCATTTAGCATTCCTATAGACCTTATATCCCATATTTATGTTGAAATATCAAACAAAATATCCCAGGCTAACAGACGCCCCCTTAAAAATGTCAATTTTCGATCATATTTACAATGACAGAGAGATGATGTTTTTAGTTCAACTCTCAACACTATTCAAACCATCATGCACGCATCACCGTCGTCATGATTGCTTTCACTCAACTGTCACGTATGTGACGTGCAAGTAATGAGATCATGGCTCTGATTGCCAAGGTCATCGTGGGCCAAAAAAATAATTGTATTAAATAAATTAAATAACCATTAATTACAAATGATTTAAAACAAAATCAAAACGTCAATGCTTCAATTTTAGAGGAAAACTGCAAAGGTTTTTTCTTCAATAATTATATAATTCTCTATTGTTTTCACAAAATCACTCCTTCCCGAACCCTAAGAATTTACTTTCAGCAACACTTCTTTCACTCTCTTTTTAACTCAAACTCTAAAAATGGCTTCTTCTTCCACCCCCGACGCAGAAAAACTATTCCAAGTTTCCTCTGTTGCTGATCTTGAGGGTCCTACCTTTTTCGACGATCACACCTATGTTCCAAAACCACCGACGAAGAAGAAAAAATTGGTCATTTGGACTTCTCAAGTACTTATTTCTCTTTCTATTGCAGATAATTTGGGTCCTTTTTCTATATCATTTGTGAAATCCAGTAAATTGAAAGAGTTTTTCCTTGGTCTACCCTATTGTAAATCTCATGCATTTTAGGACATAAGTTTTGAGTTAGGGTTTATGGAACAACCCCATCGTGTATTCCATTCTTCTCTTTCCACTAACAGTGAAACCTACCTCAGTTGGCTAAATAGGGTAGTGATAGGAAAAATAGCAAGTGTACTATTTTTACCTTGCAGTAATAATGAGAAATTCCCAAGATAACGATCTTAAGGACTGCTTGCAATTATTGAGTTAAATTTGTAGTTCAATTAAACAAAAACTTAATTTGGGATTTCGGTTTTGATATTGTCACTTAACAAGAAGCAGAAATATAAAATGGCTTTTCACAGATATGAGGAACATGCTAGGTGTGGTGTGTAATTTTCTCTACAACGACCTTGAATCCTGATTTCTTCAACAAGTTCATAACATTCAACTACCAGCCCTTTAAATTATTTCCCCTAAGTCCTTAGTGAGAAAACCTTTAACCATCCATCCTAAATCCTAAGTCCTTAGAGATATCTGATGGAGTCAAACATTTGTTTAATAAAGGGTTAAATCCAATAACTCTAGGGTATCCCTAGTCCTGGGTGATATTTATTATAGTCTAATTGTACAAAAACCTTAACAACCACGGTCTAGCTGGTTGTTAACTGTAAATCAATCCTAATTTGTCCGATCTAGAAGGCATAAAAACATTGTACAATTAAATTGAATAGAGAAGACTTTATTAAAGAACTCAGGAATTCATAACCATTATAGATTCAAATCAGGGACACTCCCTAGCATTGGGGGGTTTAGCTACTCACATTGTTCAAAATAATTTCAATGATATAAAGATTAAACATTATAGATAAATGATGAACTTTGATCTTCAATCGCTGCGGCCCATGAAAATCTCCGTCCTCCAAGAATCTCATATGTTGATCTCTCCATTCCTCAAATCTTCGTGTGACAAAAAGTCCCCTAATTCCTCTTTCAATCTTGGCTAAATAGTGAACAATCCATTTGTCTCGGTCGGAAATACCCAAAACGCCCCTTTAGGCCCAAATAGTGAAAAATCATAAAAGCACTTAAAATCAACGTCACTGGCCAACACGATCCGTGTCATGTGACATGGCCTCCTGTGTTGGCCATCCGTTAATTTTTTTGCTCCAGGCATGCTGACACGGCCCGTGTCAGGCGAAACGGCCCGTGTCATGCGACCTGGCTGCCCGTGTTGGCCATCAAGTAATTTTTCTACTCCAGGCATGTTGACACGGCCCGTGTCAAGCGACACGGCCCGTATCATGCGACACGACAACCCATGTCAGGCGATACGGCTCGTGTCATATGACACGACAGCCCGTGTCAGGCAACACAGTCGTCCGTGTCAGCCCCTGTTTTCCATGTTGTCCAAGTCTTCCCCCTGACACGGCTTGTGTCAGGCGACACACCCACCCATGGTAAGGATTGTTTTCCATGCTTTGCATGCCTTCCTCTTGACACGACCCATGTTAGATAACACGACCACCCGTGTCAGGGCTCCTGTAGCATTTCCTCTGAAACTTTGAATTATGCGCTTTTTCTGCCCTAATTTGTCCTGTTTTATTCTTTTGAACCTGAAAATACTAAAACACGAAACCAAAGTATAATATGGGATAAAATGAAATAAAAACTCAACAAGTAAAAGAAATGATAACTAAAATAACTACTAAATGTCTGTGTAAAAACCACTAATCAAACTCCCCCAAACTTAAACTGTTGATTGACCTCAAGCAACCATTATAATAACTCATGAAAATCACAGCAGACTGGTACTCATACCTGAGATATCGATTCAAATTTGTCCAAAGGTAGTTTGTTCGATGTTCACATGACGTGAAGAGTTTGTTTAAGAACCTTTAAATCTCGAGCTTCCTCTTTAGATACCTCTCTAACTATGCTTTGTACTTAAGTCTCTTTCCAATTTTCCTCCTTTTTCATTCGGACAGTCAAATTAAGGCAATGAGAGTTATGATGTTCATCACATGCACAAGACTAATCAAGAATTTTTGTTTAGGCACCAAATAGAAGCATTGGCTACTTTTAATTACCAATGGAATTTTCAAACTTTGTAGTTATATATTATCCTTTTAGACGACGTTTGGGGATCAAACCCCTTTAGTCTGAATAACCGGGTAAAGGTTACCCAACTTAGCGAGCTAGTTGCCTTTTACCACCTTTTCATTATCTAGTGTCAAATTTATTTATTTCTCCATCAATCATACATGTATGTGAATCTATATTATGCCAGACTGTAAGGATAAACTACTTCAGGAGTACTTCTCAGGATAAACCACATGGCAAAATAATTTAATTATATATATAAAATATAAAATAAAAACAAAGAGATAAGTATATAACAACATTCACGTGAGAGAGAGAGAGAGAGAAAGCATCAAATATTTTCTTTTTTTCGGTTCTCTCTTACTATACTCCTTCATTTTTCTTGTATTTCATTCATACTCATTAACAACCCATATGTATAACATTAAAACTGTATATTAATCATCAAACATTGATAACAAAGTGCAAGATTCAAAGAAACCGCTTACCGGTTGGGCGAATTGCGATGGTGTGAAGGATATCCAGCATTGGCAAGGGCACATATCTGTCAGAGCTGATGAAGTTTTTGCACGAACGGATAAACAAGGTGCGGATCATGGTGGTATGCAGGATGGTCGATTGAGAAGCGTAAGGGGGAGAGACTGTACAAAGTTCGGAGTAGTTTGCGACGGCTATTAGCTAACAAATCTAGGGTTTCATAAATTGAAACTCAGATCTCTCTTTTTCTTCTACTCCTTCTTTCCTCTTTTCGAATTTTTTTCGTCTAATAATTTTTTCATCTGTAAATCTCTCTCCCCCCCTGTTTCTGATTTAGAAAATAGGTTTTATAGTGTTTTGGATTTAGTAAATTAGGAAATTTCTTAATTTTATCGTTTCTTTTTTTAGAGAATTAGGAAATTTTGATTCAGTTGTAATTCATTTGTGTAAGTTTTGATTAGTATTGATTTATTTCTGATTTAGTTCGATCCTGTATTAATTCAGTCTATTCTGGAAAATGAATATATAGATATTGTTTGATTCTATTTCATTGATTTGAACAGTAACAGTTTTCTCCTTAAAACAAACATTATTTTTCATAATTGGTATTAGGGGTGTTCAGATCCAA